CAAAGATACCCTCTTAATTTCACAAAAGAGTGGGTTCTTTTTCAAACAAATACATCCTGCCTAATATATGTGTGTTTAGATTAGATCTTTTGCTTTAACTTTGGAAACTGAGATCATTTTAGATACTATTTCTGTATAAACTAATTTTTTTTCCATATTACTGTAAACCTAATGGTTTTGATAAATTTAATCTGCACTACGGAATTTCCAATAAAAAAAAGAAAATTAATTAAAAAGACCATAGATTAAAAATAAGTAAGGCATAACATATTTTTAATCTATGTTAAAGCATAACTATTTTTACATAATGAAATGTAGTAAATCAAATTATTATTTGTGGCTTTTATTTATTAAATCAATTAAGAACATAATCTCAAAACAAAATTTAATGACAAGAAAGATCGACGTTTCGGGTCCATCATGGAACCATTCTCAAGATCAAGTAAATTGAAAAAAACTAAAAACAAAAATGCCAAGCAGTGACAGTATGTAAGTAATTAATTCACATATCAATAGGGCCTACTGTGTGGAGCCACAATGGAGCTAAGCAATAATTAGCCCTTCTTAGCAGATTAACTAGATAAACAGTTTGGGTAGGTTTCAGTTCTTTGATCAAAAGCATTTCTTTAAATAAACAATTAAACTTGGATTTGCACTTAGATAAAACCTTGAAATAATTAACAGTTTCAGTAGCTAATATAATGATCTTTTAAATGTTGTCCTATGTTACCTTTACTGTGCATAATCATTTCTTATTTAAATGTTGTCCTATGTTACCTTTACTGTGCATAATCATTTCTTATTTAAAATAGAATTATTTAATCAATCAGTAACTTGTGTTTTTTTAATGAAATTAATGATTTTCTTTAAAAAGATGCTACCCAATGCGAGACCTTTTTTATACCTTGTTTGACAAACTCGCTGACTATTGTACATTTTACTGTACTGTTTTTCCGTTTTAAAATGTTTGTGCTCGTTAGCAATTTAGATTTGTTGTTGATGTTATCCATGACAGTAATACGTACCGCAAAATGCCAGGCCTCTGAAAGTCCCCATAGTTGGTATTCGCCACGTTATTGGAAATTTTTATTTCAAATTTCGCGAAAATGGTTTATAAAATTCCCTGCAAGTTCGTCGTTCAAAACTGGTGCCGAATCAATGTTTTAGAGCCTCCCATCAGAGCCATTAATAATAATAATAATATTAATAATTTGCCGCAAATATAGTAATAATATCTAATAATATTAATAATTTAAAAAAATACTTAGACCTACTGTACTCCCAGAGCTACTCATAGGAGCTAAAAACTAATTTATTTTAGTTCTCAAATATGCATATTCTTTATGTTGATTTATTAATTAAAATTTTGCTACAAGGTATTTTACAACATTTGTTTATTTATTTATTTTATTTCTTTAATTTTATAATTGAGGGCCATTTTTTATTTCTTGATTCAATTCTTGCTTATACAGTATTTAAATATTTGAAGATTAAAAAAAATATATATCATTTCTATTACCGAATTTTTCATTGGGGCCATTTTTATCTACCTGTCATATGGGGCCATTTTTTCCGGGGCCATTTTTTCCGGGGCCATTTTTTCTGGGGCCATTTTTCCGGGGCCATTCTTACCATTCAGAAATTATCATCGAGGACCCATTGAAAATGCTATAAAAAAAAAGCAAAGGACATACCTCGTGCTCAAACGCTGACGTACAAACCACGTCAACGAGCCACTGGTCACTACCTATCACCCTAGGTTACCACCACTAAGGGCTATAATTCAGAAACATATGCCCATTCTACAGACCACAGAACGTCTTAGGTCTGTTTTTCCGGATACACCGTTCATTAAGAGACAGCCACCTAACCTTCGTGATATATTAGTACGATCTAAATTCAAGAGGCAAACTAACTCTTGCGACAACCGTAATTTTGGTAGTCATCTTTGTGGTTCATCATGCAAAACATGCTCCTTGCTTGATTCTGCACAATCATTCAAGAGCAACCAAACTAACCACATATTTCGGATAAGGCAATCAATTAATTGCCTCACCAAAAATGTCATTTATCTCATATATTGTAATATTTGTGGTAAACAATATGTCGGAGAAACAAAAAACACTCTCCGTGAAACAAAAAACATTCTCCGTATGAGAATGACACAACATAGATCAGCTATCAGAACATCTAAGCTTGATCAACCAGTAGCCAAACATTTCAATTTAGCTGGTCATTCAATTTCAAATTTCAGAGTGATTGCAATTGATTTAGGAACGTTCTCCCAGTACACTAAATTAAACCAATGGCATTTCAATTTATTCTGGATAAATCATTTGGCTTATTTATTGAGGCTTGCCTCTAAAGTTTAGTTTTGGCCTTCCTGTTTAACTTGTTTAGGCTGTTTATTCTAATCTCACCCAGCCTATTGTTTCCAATCATGCTTGCATAAAATTCTCACTTTATACCATCTAGCTTTTTCTACCCTCACTCACTCGACACTGAGGAAGGACTAGTGTTGTCCGAAAGCTCTATTCTAGTTCTATTTCTGGCTATTTACTTACGTTTACTTTTTAGCTGTTGCTTATCATTTTTGTATCTCTACTGAGATCCAGCCATTGTTTCCCACAGCATTGTTGTTTTTCAGTATTTTGCCTTTTAATCTATATATATATATGTGATATATATATATATATATATATATCAACTTATTGACAGAATAATACCACTGTATGACCACAGTATACATCTGTAATAATTCAGAACATTTTTGTATGTTGATATTGAATTCCACTATAGGGCTACAATATTATCTTGTTTATTGACAGCTTCTTCCACTGTGATCCAACATTACTAACTGTAGACTTACAAGGCGACATCTGGTTTTCAATGGTTTCAACTGGTTTTCAATGCGTTTCAATTCCAACTGGTTCAACTGGTACTCAAAAGGTTATGAGGTCCAACTGCTTTTTTCAACTGGACGCAGGGTTCCCGGAACGCCGCCCTCAGCGGCGAGTGCAAGCACAACTCAGGGTCAAAAGTGGAACGTGAAATTTGGATATGGTTTTGTAGTCAGATTTGCGAGAAAAACTTCAGCTACCGTATTTCTCGACTGAGACGTCAGTAGGAGCTGTAATTTGTATGGCAAGGAGATTGAGCAACCCTTTATTCATATTAAGGGAATTTACGCCCAGAAACTTTGTAATTATTAATATTTTGGTTATTATAGAAAATATTCATTTTTGGTGACGTCACACTCACATTAGTTAGCATGCATACGTCATAAGCTAGACGCAGGGTTCCCGGAAAGCCGCACTCAGCGGCTAGTGCGAAGCACAACTCAGGGTCAAAAGTGGAACGTGAAATTTGGATATGGTTTTGTAGTCAGATTTGCGAGAAAAACTTCAGCTACCCGTATTTCTCGACTGAGACGTCAGTAGGAGCTGTAATTTGTATGACAAGGAGATTGAGCAACCCTTCATTCATATTAAGAGAATTTACGCCCAGAAACTTTGTAGTTATTAATATTTTGGTTTTAATATAAAGTATTCATTTTTTGGTGACGTCACACTCACATTAGTTAGCATGCATACGTCATAAGCTAGATACGTCACCTATTCCTGATAAGGCAAACTTTCCCGGCGTGCTTTTTTCATGGATAAACAAACATCACTGCTTTGCACATGGATGCCTTTCCCAAGCCAGGGCTACAAGAGCCGCATTGTTAGCATTGTATAATACTTAAATAAGGTACCTCTGCAAATGAATTATTCTTAGTTATTTCTTTTTTCTTATTTTTAATTTATTTCTTCCGAAAGTGTACTTTCTATCACATATAATTCCACTGTCTTAGTTAGGCCTAGGCCAACCTACCTAGTCTTATGCCTCATCGTCCGCTACACAGTACATCAGGAGCCCCTCCCCCATACAGTACAGACGTTTGCTAGGTAACAACGTGATTGCACCTTCCTTCCCAGGTGTTCATGTAACATTGACATAATTTTTAGCTAACCAGTTGTGTGTATTTCTTTGTGAAAATGAGTACCGCGGCGTACTCATTTTCACAAAGCATTTGCATCCCCTCTTGGAAAGAGGGATTCGAAATAATTGTCTTCGCTAATTAAATTAATCACCGTAATTTAGCTTACACTTATGAATTTAGGGAGCACTTAAAATGTGAAATAATCATTTCACTACCCGACAAACTCCGAACTTTATTCATTCATTAGGCCTACATAATAGTTTCATATTGCTGTACTATAATATACTCCAACATCACTGGCGCATGGTAACAACCAACTGACTGCAGACCATTTCCGGTCACACATTACTCTCCATAACACAGCACCCCCTAGTTCCGTCATCTCTGGGTTTCAATTCTAATTGGCCAACTGTTATCATTAGTAACTCTAAATCACTGCAATATTTATTTACTTACTCTATCACCAAATGAATTGAAACAACATTTTTGTTATTATTTATTACTGTGCATTTATTATTAAATTCCACCAACAGTTACAATTATTACATACTTTGACCATTTAAAAATTATTTATCATATTAATATCTAAGTAAATGTAAATTATATATTTCTTTAATACATTCAATGCAATATTTTAAATTTAAGAAAATATATTTAAAAATCAATTATGCACATTTACATTCTATATTTACTCTATACTTATAACAAGATCTATAGTATAGTCATATTGGACGATGAATTAATAATATAAAAATAACAATATGCAATTATTACTACTGTACACTTTATTACATTGTGTATAGTGAGCAAATTTATAAATACATTAAGGATTAAATTAAATGATTATTGATGATTACAATGCAATTGTTTTATTTAATTTAAAAAAAACCCTGAATTTAGAAAATATAAATAAATCAATTATGTGCACTTTGCAGAAAGGTAAACTAAAAAACAAAAACAGAGCAATTAATTACTTTTTAACTTGTCAATTATCTTTTGTTAAGTATGTACCGATCTGAGTGGGAGCTTTCTACAGCTTTCACCTCCTTGGTAATGCCGTATGATCACAAATATTGTTGCTTTTTGAAACATTCTGAAAAAGAAATTGAAATACAGTATCACCTATTATTTGAAAAAAAAAAAAATAACATGGTTTAACTTGATTTAAAACAATGCATTGCTAGATATAGTGTGCTTTCATTGGCTGTGAGCTCTTATAATAATAAAATAATAATAATAATAGTAGACTTAGGGCAAATAGAACAATTTGTTAGATTTATCACTCCCAATAAATAAAATAAATAAAAATAAAAATTTCTTTTGCTGCATTATTTATTTTAACAGCTTAAAAAAATATGATGCAATTTTGTGACTGGAAATACATTTTCTTTAAAAACAATAAAATTAAACTTGTAAATATTCTTGGAAATAAAAACAGTACCTCCATCATCAATTAAAAAAAAGCAATATTCTGTTAAAAAAAACAAAAAAGCCCTTATATTAGCATATTGTTAGGCCCTCATTGGATTACTGCCTATGGAACACAAACTCCAGCTCCCTGGGGTAGTATTCTATAACGCTGCAGCAGATACATCAGCGCATGTTGGTACAGGCTATTTAACTCTACCAGGTACCCACTTATACTCCTGGGTAGAGAGAAGCAATGCAGATAAAATGCCTTGCCCAAGGACACATATGAAATAAACAGTGAGGGGATTGAAACCCTGACCCTGCGCCAAACCACTTCTACTTATTGACCAAAGCCAGTGGCAATGGACCTTAAGGGCCCCGTATATTAATCAGCTTTTTTCTGCAGGATCATAGACCCTCCTTCAAACCATGTGTCATAAATCAGCCATGTGTTAACACATCAAAAAAAGTCAGTCACCAGGGCAAACTGGAGCTTCTACCCCATACCTCTATCTGTGCCCTGCACGAGGCCCTGGCGAAGTATGTGCTTTACAACTACCTGGAGCCCTATGTTTTATTTTACTCATCATTGAGCATTAGGAATACAGTAGTACAGGATCTATGTGCTACTGTATCAATCAATCAAACTCTACTGTAGGCCTACAACACAAAATACCCAAATAATCATGCCGAAAATCTTCCCTATACCGAATTCGGTCCTGCTACCCGACCTACTCGGGTAATCGATCATCCAATCCCCTGTCACAAGTGACAGGTCAGGTGACAGATTCGCTACTTACCTAAAATTCATTACCCGCTGCCGGCGGCTTGCGAAGGTCGCGTACTAGTGTATTGTAGTTAGGCCTAGGAAGGTTAGTGATCTAGAGTGAGCAAGAGAAATTTTGTTTACAATGGTCAGGCACGGCAAACGTAATGAATAAGCCTACAATCTAGGCTACAACAATCAATACTCTCTTAACATGTTCCTACATTTTCAATAAAAAGGAGTTATAATCGGGAGCGCATGTTTAGGTGTGGTGTGATGTCAAAAAGTGCATTGGCAGTCCGTAACAAACAGAAGCAACTACTGAATTTCCCGCAAATATTTTTTACTGGGAATTGTTGTTCTTGTCTATACCACAGTGTAATTAAAAAGAAAATACAAATTGTGTTCGCACCTAAAAATCGGGAAAATTACGATGCATAACAAACAAAAATAATAAGATTGAACTGAAGCGCCTGGCATCCCAAGACCGAACCATTGTGTGCCCTGTGAAGCTTATTATAATAGTATTTAAACATATTATAACGGTTAGTGCACGTGTTTGAATATTAATATAATATTTAAACATGTTTATTATAACGGTTAATACACATGTTTAAATGTGGTAATGTTTAGGCATGTGTATTTATAGTTATAATACAAAATGAATACCCTGCCGCAAAATGGACGGTTCTAAATCGCCCACGACTCAACTGAGCACATGTGCTTCTCGTTCGTTCGTGACGTTGTGCACTGGCCGTGAGAGCGAGCAATCGTCTGTAAATCGTATGCAACGAAGATACAGAATATCAGTTATAAAATCAATTTAGCATTTGATTTTAATACATGACGAGTTATTCTGTTTCTAAATTCTAACTGTCAACTACATATTCATCACTCGATTCGGAGGCCCTATAAAATAGAGATTTACTACTCTCTGAGCCTAGATTGAAAGAATGTAGGTAAGAATGGCCCCGGAAAAAATGGCCCCGGAAAAAATGGCCCCGGAAAGAATGGCCCAGGAAAAAATGGCCCCGGTAAAAATGGCCCCATATGACAGGTAGGTAAAAATGGCCCCAGTGAAAAATTCGGTAATAGAAATGATATATTTTTTTTTTAATCTTCAAATATTTAAATACTGTATAAGCAAGAATTTTGGGTGTTCGTAATTTTGTAATCTAATACACTGTGATTGTGTAAGTGACAACTAAGTAC